AGCGATCGGTGGCGTAACTCATACAAAGCGAGGGCCCGCCTACGTGTGCTATACTTCTAAGCCCCCTCAATACTCCCCAGGTTCGATTAAGGAACTAAATTTAATAAAAAATTTAAAAATTCTAGCAGACGACTGGGCCCCTCAGAGCCGTGGGCCCGCCCGCACTGCGGGCCTTACATTTACGCCAATAGAAGCGAACCTTTCGGCTGAAATGGATAGTTGTCGCTAACTGAGTTAGAAGAGTGATAGACTAACCAGGTCCTCCGTGGGTTGCCGTTAGTTAGTCTATCACTTACCTCCTTTGTCCATCGCAACCACCTACCTCCACAATTATTAGGATCGTTCAATTTTCTCTTTGCCTTCGTTGTTTATAATAATAGAGTGTCTAGCATCAGGATTTTCCTGATTCTATCTGGATTTGTCAGGATCTAATCCCGATTTCATCAGGATTTGAGGGAAAATCGGTCGTAAAATCAGGATTTGAGAAAAATCGGCCGTCCGATCGGATTTTTTATCGAGCTATTTTTGTGAAGTTACATTCGCCTCCGCAAAAAATCAGGATTTTATCAGGATTGGGAAAAATTGAAATCAGGATTGCTCAGTCAAAAATCAGGATTTCCCGAAATGAATAATAAAAAACTAGACACCCTGTATAACTTTGTCTATCAATATTAATAATCAGCACAGTGTATTAGTGCCAGGAAACTATAAAATTTTCAAAACGTATTTCATCAACCCGGACTTGCACAAAAATCTCTTCTAAATTGCGCTGAGAGGACAGTGAACATTCATCATCCATCGCTGTTATTCCGCCAATATTGATCCTGCAGTGTGTTCGGGTGTGCAGACAGTAGACTAAAATAATGTGTATGCAGGTGGACGACCCTTGTTCCCCCGCCCAGCCCCCGCGTTCCCATGAAGGGGGGCAGGAGGGGGGTCGCTTGGAAGTCGTAATCCTGCGTCCACGCCAGGGGACCTGCACCAGAAACGAGAGACGCAAAAGAGGTCCTGCGTTGCCATTCTCAACCCTTTCCTCATTTCTTTTTGAAAAGTCGCCAAGTTTTCATATGGTTTGCAAAGGCTTTTGAAGGCAGAAAGGTTGTAACGTTCGATGAAGGCCGATTATCTTGAAGTACGAAGTCGAGGATTCATTTGATTCGTCCGATTAGGCGGAAAACTGTCTCATTCTTCATTTTCATCCACCGAATTCCTATACCTTAAAAAAATTGATGAGAAAAATCGTTTACTTGGTCCTTGGAATTTTTTACTAACCTTACTCCATAATGTAAAATCATTATAGTAACGCGTAACGGATAACGCCTGACCCCTTCGCTACCCCTTCCATTTCGCAGCCCATACTCCACCCTCCATTCTTAGTGCCATTGAAAACCTGTATACATGAGGCACACAGTGCTTCAAGGGTTGGACCGCGTAGCGGTCAGGGGCATTGGCGGATCCAGAAATTTGGCAATACCGGATTTTCTCCATTTAAACCTATGGAAATGTATCGATTTTTGGAAGGTCCAGGTGCTCCGACATTAATTGATTATTTAACATAGGTTTTAACGGAGGAAAGCCGGTGTTACCAAATTGCTGGATCCGCCTTTGGTCAGGGGCAGTGGCGTGGCGTAACTGATCGATTTTCGATATTCCTCCATTTAAACGTATGGTGAATAATCGATCATTAAGGTGTACGCTGCGACCACCCTGTTTATCGATACTTTTCCATAGGTTTAAATGGCTGATCATTCGATATATCGCAAGGCACGCCACGCCACTGGTCCAGGGGACGTACCCTCCTAGTTTCCGCGGAAGAATGTGTTATAAAATGTGCACGGGCCCCGTTCGCGNGGGGGGGGGGGGGGGCGTCGGGGGGCTCGACCTTGATTGTTGGCGTATGCGCGTATGTCGTTAGCAGCGTTGCCGAATCAGTCCTGGCCTTTATTTTATACTATCACTCCGGGGGCTTTTATCGGAAAATCGGGCAACGTGACAGTCAGTAGTCGGACCGGATCGCGGTTTGCCATGTTTGCCGGATCGATCGGAATAATCGGGATTTTACTCGGGATTGTGGTGGTGAAACGACTTTGCGGTTTACCGGCGGCCTTGTGTGCTTCGAAGCCGAGTCGTCCAAGGACTCGATCGCTTTTGAGCTTTTTCAAGGCTCCTTTGCTCCTTCAAAAGCTCATTGAAGTAGCGCTCGTGACACCTTGAAAGCTATTGGATGTACAGAAGGGCCTTGAGTTAAACTCCCAGACTTCTCTGCGTGATTTGTGGGCAAAAATAGGACTTTTTTCCTTAATATAGTTTTCTTTAATTTTTTTTATTTATTCATTTATTTATTTTTTTAAAACCATTTTTTTAAATGCCGCCAGTCGGGTGGCGGGTGTACTGCTTCTCCGGCCCTCTGCCAAAAATTTTTGAAGATCATATTCTTTTCTGAATTTTGGTGACGTTTATGAACCAAAACTTACGGGAAATTGCTGTTCTCCACAAATTTAAGCGCAGTTCACCCCCGGCCTCAAAAATATCGAACTTTTAAGTCAAAGGAAGATTTTAGGGATTTTAAGGGGAAGTGAAAATTGTTTACCCTGAATGATCCAAGGCCCTCCGTTAATATTACGATATTTTTGTGGTTTTGCCTGAATTTAAAGAGAAATTTACAATAATTTTGCGCAGGAGAATCAGGGACCTTTGTAATTATTATTTTTATTCGAGTTGTTTGCAGGCTTTTTATTTTGCAAACTGACCAAGTAGATCTGCATTTTTCAAGAAAAAATATCTACATCTATACCGAAAAAAAAAATCTGTACGAAGATACATGGATACACTGCGATGCTCTTTAGCATGGTAGTATGATGCTTCCGAAACTACGGTATCATTCTGGATGTTCAGATAGCACCTTAGGTCAGAGCGTAATGCTTCTAGGGGTGAGGGGGGGGGGGCTGTCTGGAAAACCGGTCAAAGCGCCACGCGCCAGGGGGTTTAGCCGCTCGATCGTATCTCCAAGCTAATAAAACATGCGGGTATAAATATCAACCCTTCTTCGACTCCAACCTGCCATCGGTATGATTGATTTGCGTCTCCATTGTTGCCACCTCGTAGTGTCTCCTAATCTAGGAGATGTACAAAAAATTGCGAAAAATACCCCCCCTCCCCCCACCATCTTTATAAGAATGACCCCCGATTTTTTAGTTTTCACAAAATTTTCTTCATGCAGAGAAGAAAAATCTTGTAAGTTTTCAAGAATTGACGTTGAGTAGTTTTCTATTTAAAAAAATAATGCATTACAAGGAGTCTGCAACGTCGCAAATCAATATACGTGGTCTGGTAGTCTTAACGTCGATATTTGATACCTATTGGTTCCTTTTTCATTCAGCGCAGTTTTTCCGCCAAGTCTGAAACGAAACCAACCAACCAGACCATTGACGAGACCAACGAAACCATTGACGAGACTGATCGTCTCGTCAATTTTGGGTGGTCTATACTGCCGTGCTAAGGAAAAATGCCGTATGAACATCCGAGTATCGCCAATTTTCCTTCGATACAATGTTCATTTTTTAGGAAAGCTATGAATATTTTTTCTTGAAAGTTACATAAACTTCAGGCGAAATTGCGAACAAAATTATGCGAAAAATTGGAAGAAAATTATTTTTAAATCCCGAGAATTCACGATTTACCACAGGAAAGTTGGCAACGCCTGAAGGTTCACACGGTGTTTTTCCTTAGCACCTTTTGTTCCAATTTCTTCCACTTCATGACCGCGTTAAAAGTTCCATAATTATTTTCAGTTTTTTCACAAGTTTCAAGAAAGTTCCGGAAAATGCAAAAGATACAGAAAATTTCGGGAATTTCAAAAGTTTCGTGGAAGAATACAGGAAAATCTGTAAAAGTTCCGGAATTCGGAACTCGTTCCAGAAAATGGGAGCACTGCTCGTGCTCGCGCATTTTATACAGGGTGATCCAAAAGTCCCTTCCACCCCCTCTAACTTTTTACTTAATTGAGGTGAAGATTTGAAACTTGGGGGATATTCCTAGGTCAAAGGGAGCTACTTTTTGGCCCCCCTAAAATTTTCAGGGGGGCCCCCCTTGGGGGGCAACGGCCTCCAACTTTTAATTTTCAAATGGGAAGACCCCCTTTGTGATAGCTCGTTCGAAAGAGCATAAAAAAAGAAAACTTTTCGCGCAAACCCGAAGTCAATATCTCAAACCGTTTCAAAATGGCGGCCGGTTAAAGTTCAAAATGGCCGAAAATTCACACCGGTTATTTGTCGATGGATTTGCGCGAAAATCGGTATGTAGGGGTATTTTGACACGAGAAAAACGAATTTGACGTTAGATTTTCAAAAAAACCGAAATTTCCAAAATGGCCGCCGGTTAAAGTTTAAAATGGCCGAAAATTTTCACCTTCGTGTTTTCCTGATGGATTTGCCTAAAACTTGGAATCTGAGAGTATTTTGGCATAAGATAAACAAATCTGAACTTAGATTTCTAAAAAAATCAATTTTTGGTCATTTTGAACTTTAACCGGCGGCCATTTTGGAAATTTCGGTTTTTTTGAAAATCTAACGTCAAATTCGTTTTTCTCGTGTCAAAATACCCCTACATACCGATTTTCGCGCAAATCCATCGACATATAACCGGTGTGAATTTTCGGCCATTTTGAACTTTAACCGGCCGCCATTTTGAAACGGTTTGAGATATTGACTTCGGGTTTACGCGAAAAGTTTTCTTTTTTTATGCTCTTTCGAACGAGCTATCACAAAGGGGGTCTTCCCATTTGAAAATTAAAAGTTGGGGGGCCCCCCTGAAAATTTTAGGGGGGCCAAAAAGTAGCTCCCTTTGACCTAGGAATATCCCCCAAGTTTCAAATCTTTACCTCAATTAGGTAAAAAGTTAGAGGGGGTGGAAGGGACTTTTGGATCACCCTGTACTTAGCTTGGTGTAGAGAACCCTTCTTGTTGACTCGGTGAATGACCCGCGTGTGGTATCTGTTGCAGTCGCAGGCGCAAGGTCAGGAGCCCTCGAAGAAGAGCAAGTCGCGGGGTTCTCTGTCGCCGGGGGCGTCGCCACCGCCCGGGGCCCCGGTGCGGGACGCGGCGAGCCTCAAGTCGATCAAGTACGGGCCGGGGCATGAGAAGTACCCCTCGTGGCCGGCGGCGCAGGGTGACTTCCACGCGGAGGGCGCGCCCGGCAGCGGCCCCAACGCCGCTGCAGCCCCCCAGACCGGCTCGTCCCGCTCCAAGTCCTGGGCCGACCAGACCCACTACCCCAAGGAGAAGCCGGCCGCTCTCGCCCGCCCTTACAACAAGCGCTCCAACGCCTCTTTCACCCAACAGGTAAACCCCAGCATCTCTTTCACACTTTTTTCAAGGAACAGTTTCTCCTATAGAGAAAAACAGGAGGTGTTTGCATCTCGAGGATTAAGTACCCTGTGACGTAGGTCGGTACAACCTGCACTGGAAAAAAACACACATTGGATCTAGATAAGGAAGATCTAGATCTAGGAAACAATTACCAAGAAAATTCAGGAGAAAAGAAAGTCATAAGCTTGAAAGTTTCACGCTTCTCGAGCCAACACTGGAAAAAAAACACTTTGGATCTGGAGTCCAGACTCTTGAAAACATTGACAAGAAAAAATACTCTTGATTCAATCGGATTTTTGCTTGAATCAAAACGAAATCCGCTTAAATTGAGAGGCTTGGTTCTTGATTTAAGCTAGATTCTGATTTAATCAAGAGTACTTTTTCTTGTCGATGTTTTTAAGAGTCTGAACTCTAGATCCAATGTGTTTTTTTTCCTGTGTGGTCGGCCAAATCCGGAATTCGAAGTATGAAAAACGGACCATATCGTCCGATTTTTTTGCTTAAATCAACTCATGATATAATTTCAAACACTTCATGTCGAATGCATTTTCTCCATAAACTACACCATTTCCAAGAAAATCGGTGATAAAAGTCGCCGTACCGACCTACGTCATCAAAAAAATTCCAAGATGCCCGAAATGCAAACACCTCCTTTTTTTTGTATATGAGTTTCTCCTACGATTTTGAAGATGATTCAGGTCCATTCGTTGTTTCCTTCACAAAGAACGTAACTATTTTCTAATACTGCCGAATTTCCACTTTTAAAGTGCATTTTTACCAAGAGAATCTTTGACATATTGAACTGAAAATTTTACCGATTTTTCCTCTGATCTCCCATGACTCAAGAAAAAATTCGGACAAAAATCGCATTGGTACACTCTTGTAAAAATGTTAAACTTTTTGTAGTCAAATTTGCAATTTTCGAAAGGAGTTACATTCTTTCGTCCGGAACACGACGTATTGACTCATAGATCCTGTAAAACAGGCGATAATTCAAGTAATTTAGAATAAAAAAGGTAGTCATGATCCATGATACATACATTTTTAGCTTAGGTTACCTATTGTTTGTAAAACTTTTTTCATCCTTAAAAAATGGGGCTTTTTTTAGTAACCTGTTTCTTCAATAGACCTGTAATCCCTGAAATAATTCAACAGTCAAAACACGGCCCGTGACACACGCAGTAACTCCATCTCGTTTCTTTCTTATGTGCATCCTGCATTCCTGATCGGCCGTCTGATTTTAATTGTATGCAAATCGGATTACTTGGCAGCCTGGCATTAGTCTAATATTCCTCGTGGAAACAATAAAACCCGAGGGCCTCCTCATTTCTTCGGCTCATTGTCTCAGTCTTGTCAATGTTTTTTCGGCGGTTTCCGTCTCTGGCCGGACCTGGACCGTGAAACGATGAATTGGCCCTC